AACACTTGGCAAAATATGTGACCTAAATGAAAGAATGAGAGTATTTAATAAATTATTAACTATTATATTATTATTTTTGTTAATCTGAATAAGAGAGTTTAAGTTTCGACTTCTGTCAAATCACTTTTTTCATTTTTAATTGTATTTTATTTTCTACATTGCTTTCCAAATGTGAAGGAACTTTAAGTGATACTCATCTACTTCCTTCAAGGGAAAAACTCATTATCCTATTAGCATCCACTGGAATTAAAAACCATGCCAACTGTGACAGTTTATCTCAATTATTCTTTCAATAAGTTTTGAGATCATGGTGATTGAGCTAGATTCTGTATGATTCCTGTCCCTACATTGTTTCATTTATTTAAAATATTTTATATTTTGGATTGACCATCTCCAATTGTTCTGAATTTGTGTCTGTATAAGAAACAATAAACTGATTTCATTTAATATCTGATGAGCCATAGCATGGAAGACTTTAATGATATCATATCCAATAATTAATACTTACATTTAAATCTCATTCTTTTCTACTTATCATTTTACTAAGAACTAGAGATGCAAGAAAAAATACACAATGTCTACTTAATTTTGAATTCCAGATAAAAACAGAATAATTCCTTAACATAACTATGCCCCACATATGGCAGGAAACATACTTCTAAAACATTACTTATTGTTTGTCTGAAATTCAAATTTAGCTGCATATACCTACATCTGTATTTTCTAAATTGCATTCTTGCTAAGAATGCAAGCACAAAAGACATTTTCAACTAAAATAATAGCGATACACTTAGTCTGACTGCTAAACTTCAAGGTCATCAGACCATACTTTTCTCCTTTATGTGTTTGTATACTCTTTAAAAAGTGTAATCAACCAGTTATTTGCTATAGCTGAAGAAAAGACTCCCTGTACTTATTCACTTTGTGGCTGGAAGATACATAGGTCAATCTACAAATTCAGGGCAAGAATATTGTTGGCTGCTATGCTAGTCAGGCTTAATTGAAATAACATCAAAGACCCAGTTCAAACCTGCTGTCTTTTCAGGGGTCCTAAACCCTGCTCTGCTTCCCTATCTCCTGAATCCTGTCTGTGTACAATTCCTCCACTGATTTCTCAGGCTTCATCTGGACTTCCACCTGGGTAGAGCTGGCAGGATCAAATTAACACATCAAAAGCTGAAATAGCTCCACGCATAGACTGGTGAGTAAAGGCTTTGAGATCGCTTCTTACCAGAGGTTTTTGCTTATAATTTAGCTGTCAATTTCATTTCTGAGCTCAGAATTAATGACCATGTAATATGAACCTCAATTTTAAAAGAAATTAATCTGACTTTTTGCCTGTTTCTGTAAATGGGAAAACAGAACTCCCTTTCTGCAGTGTACAATTTTAGCTTTCATTCTTAAATATTCCATCATCTTCACTGCCATGAAGATATCTTTGCTTGCTCTTTCAGCTTGCCATATAAATTAGCAAAAAGGCCAAGGTAAGATCTGGAAACTGCATACTGAGCTGAACAGAAAGAGAGAACGTAGATCATCTGCATTGAGATAAAGTGCACACAGTTTGGTCAAAAGGAAGAAATGAGACAGCCTGAGATAAAGATGGGCCAAGTGTTGTCTTTCTCTAGAAAATTAAGTGCACAAAATCTTCCTAAGATCTATCTGGAAAAAAAAAGGTATAAAACATTTTGAATTAAAGCAACTCTTCTGTAAGTATCTTCGTTGTGTGTTTCTACAGCAAATCAGATTAATACTTGTATATCTCTTTGACACAACTCCTAATAATGAAAACAATAAATTTGAAGAATAGGTGATAACATCCATTTCTACAAAATAACACAAATAGCAAAGCCCCAGAGTTATATTATTGTGTGTGTGTGTGTGTGTGTGTGTGTGTGTGTGTGTGTGTGTTTGTGTGTGTGGTGACTAGGTAACTTGCCATTTACATTGAGGTCATATTGCTTGCCAAGATGATAAAATGAATAATAGGTTACTAAAACCTAAAGATCATAAAAATGAAAAAAATATACATCACATACTGTCTTAAAAAGTGAAGGACGAATATTAAAATACAGTTAAAATATGTATCACATTTTATAGATCAATTAAGGCATAGTGAACCTTAAAGTAATATATACCCTTCTGGTTATGAAAGACACATTGGGTAACCCAAATATGTACATGACAATTTGAATAAATGTATTTGTGTGTGTGTGTGTGTGTGTGTGTGTGTGTGTATTCAACAGAACATTTTATTCTTAAAGGTTGGTAAACTACAGCTTACAGGTTGGAGGCCTATTTTGTAAATAAAATTTTCCTGGAACACAGCTATGCCCATTTGTTTATGTATTGTTGGCGACACCTCTCCCAATACATGATGGACTTTGGTTGTTCCAAAAAAGACTATATAACTCGCAAAGCCTGAAATATGTACTGAATATTTGCCTGGTTCTTTATAAAAATTCTAAGGCCTGGCTATAAAGAAGTCATGTCTGCTTTAATGGTTCTGTAACATGAAACAATTTTATTCTTTCGTGTTGGCATAGGAACATGAAAGAATGCCAGCTAGTGGGTAAAGACTTTAATGTGTGCAGAGATGAATAGAAGAAATGTTCCTTTGTATATATTCCAATTTTCTTCTCTATGATTTTGCTTATTTTTATTATCTTTTCCACTTTCATTTTTCTTATTTTATTTCTACTTTCTCTTGTCATTTTTCTTTTCTACCTTGTATACATTTTCCATATATATTGTTACAGTCCTAACTTTGGGGTTCTCATAAAGCATAATGACTTTTTATATAGGATATCTATTAATCTGTATCCATAAATACAGTGTTGAATCTCTTATCTCTGATGAACTTGAAAGATAAATCAAGTGATGTGAATAGACTTTTCAGCACTTTTCTTGACATTCATTTGATGTGTAATAGCAAAGCAGGAAGAATTTTGTCTGGTTCCATATACATATAATAAGCTTTGACTCTCACCCGGGCAATTTTTCAGACACTGAGGGCTCAAAAGCAAATAAGGTAAGATTCAGATCCCTTGTTGTTCTCTGTCATACATATTGTACTTTTTTCTAAGTGCTTTGGTGAACTGGTACTTCCTGTGTGTCAGCATGTGTTTTAATTGGACCTTGGACTATCTAACAGTCCATGAAGACAGGAGCAATGTCTGCTTTGCTTACATTTTTATTCTCAGTGTATTCCATTTACTGTATTTTCCAAGAATATTTGTTGAATGGCTTGAATGAATGACAGAGGTTCACTGAAACATTTTAAGAGTTGAAATGACAAAGGCATTTAAATCTAAGATCAGTTTTTGTAGCAGTCTAAATTTTGATAAAAGGAGGTTCAGAAGAAAAACTGCAGGTCATATCTCCTAGTTTTCCAAGACAGAAGATTTTAAAAATTCTTTAATTTAGAAAATATTAATTGAAGTGATTTCCTAGGCCAGATATTGTCTTAAGTATAGGACAATCAAGACATAGCTCAATAAGATATAGTTGGGGTTTTTTTTTGTTTGTCTGTTTTTTTGGTAATGGGAATTGAACTCAGGACCTTGTGCTTGCCAGGCAGGCGCTGTGTTGCTGACCTATATTTCTGGCCCCAAGATACAGTCTTGACATTTGAGATGATTACGATTTAGGACATGAATGAAATGTATAATGGGTTCCAGCTAGGTACGTCAAAGGAAAGTATTTAATAGAGAAGACAACATCTGAAGACAGCACTGATGAGTAAATAGAAATCAAGTGAGTATTGCAGACTATGGGAGTAAATAAAGCCAAGGAGGTGTGGAAATGCTCTCTGTCTCAGTCTGGCCAGCAATCTCTGATTTTCTGTGAGAGAAGCACACAGAGAAATAATAGCTTTAGCCACAAACATATATGGTAATCTCCATACTCAGACAAAAGAAAAAAAACATGACCAAATGGACACTGAGAAGATATTAAAAAATTGTCAAGGGATATGTCAGGGTATAACTAATATTTCAGGAAGATAACATTGGTGATTATATCATGATAATGCTTTAGGTTGGAAACCCAAGGAGAAGAGCTCCAATGAAAGATAATGAACCACTGAATAAGTGTAATTTCTGTGGTGAAGAAGAGGAAGACTGCACCCCAGAGACACTGACAAGAAAAAAACTCTCGGGTTGCTTAGGCATCAGGAATGGGTTCGGGCTACCGCTATTGCTTCACCTTGGTGAACTGCAATGTTTCAGTTACTGGTGCTTTCCAAACATGAAAGAAGTGTTAACCTAGTCAGACTGAAAGACAAGAGGGCCCACTCTTGGCTGGGAGAAATATGGGTAAGTGGGTAAGGCACAAGTTGGACAAAGTTGTTGTATCAGAATGTACTTCAAACTTCAATTGTCTCAGAGTTAAGAAGTTGCAATGTTATGAATGTAAATCATTATAGTGAAAAAGTTCAATCTCTTCAACTGAGGGTCTATCATTTGAATAAACTATTGCTCTATAAAGCTGGCTTTTGAGGTCTTAACACTAGCACTCTTCTTAAAGGCAGAAAATATGAAGAACAGATATCTGGATGAAATAGAGTCACTTTTGTTTCCACGAGTGTTAAACAAGGTTACAGACTTAGTGAAATTCAATTTTTTCATTAAGTTGGTAAAGTCATAATCATATGAATAAAGACATTTAAACACAAATAGGGTTTGTAATACACGTAGCCATCTATTTCCTAAAATCACAATGAAAGAGATGTTTTGAATGAAATGCACAAACTTAGTCATTATTAAAACTGATTATTGCACTTTATGTTTTTAAACATTCTTTAGTAGAATTAGGTAACAAACTGCATTTAGACTTTATTTCTTTAACCACTAAACAAGCACTAATATTAACAAATAATTGAATCAGAAGGAAGAGGGAAAAAATAGCACAAAGCAGAGGATTTTTAGGGAACAATTATTCAAGAGACCGTATATATATTTATACTTTTTTTTTTTTTTTTTTTTTGCTCAAACCCATAGAATGGACACTACCATGCGCGAGCCCTGCTGTGCTCTATGGGGTATGGAAGCTGGTGATGGGTCCTTGTGAGGTCATCATCTTCAGTAAGTGCACCACTCTGGGGAGGGAGCTGATTAGGGGAGACAGTGCATATGTGGGTGCAGGAGCCATATGGGAAATCTCTTTATTTCCCACTCAAGTTTTCTGTGAACCTAAAACTGCTCTAAAAATGAAATCTGTTTTAAAAAGATGTTTATTTAATGGGATACTAATATTTAGGGTTTTTTTAACAAAAGCAGTCAATCTTGTGTAATGAAACAAAATAAAATATTTATGTAATTCTTTAATTTGGGTTATAAAAGGCATGAATCAAGAAAGAAATGCAGCTCCAACTAGGCTGACTCCTTGCCACAGTACAGTTACTGCTTTTCTCCACCTCTCAAGAGTGCTGCTTCTTCTCCTCAGCCACAGGCCTTGAACCCCGTGTCCTGGCTTTGACCAAACACAGACAAGTAGCTCCAAACTGCTGAGCCTCCCTGAGTCAGGCAATTGTGTTCTACCTTGTTCCAGGAGTCATTTCTGTCCTTTCTTGGTGGGTGATGGGTGCTTTATGCATCACCAGTGGTTCTATGGAGAGAATGATGAATGAGATAAAGCTTGCACTTGTATCATCTATAAAGGGAGAAAAATGGGAGTATTAACTATAATACTAGGGGCCAGGCATATAGCTCAGTGGCACAGCACCTGTCTGGCAAGCACGAGGTCCTTAGTTCTTTTTTCCCAGCACCAAAAAAAAAAAAAAAAAAAACCACACACAAAAAAACCAATAATACCAGTTGATAGTTGCAGTAAGAGAGTAATGTACCTATTGTAGAGGTGGCAGAGAGGAAAGAGGGTTTGTTCTTGCATTATGGGTACTGCAGTACTGCAAATACCTTACAAAGAAGACATCAGGATTGTGTTTTTGTGGACTAATGAAGACTGTTCTGAATCAAGAGAAGAGGACATGGGAGACTAGGATAGGTATTCCAAGTGAAAGGTAGTTACCATGCCTTTTATATCACTAGTGCTCTGTATTTGTTCCTCTTCCCCAGATCCTAACTGTAACTTTTAACTCTGCCTTGCTATTGGGATTCTGTTTACAGGAAAATGGTGCCCTATCCATGAAAATTAGTCCTTTTTTAGTAGGAACCATTAGATTTCTCTGGTGCTGCCTGTGCACCCCAGGTCCTCATTTTGAATGTCACCCATAGATGACCCAGTTCTCTGTCCACATGCTTTCTTGGTGTCTTAGTCCATTTTCTGTTGCTAGAATGAAATGCTTGAGACCAAGTGATTCATAAAGAATAGAGGTTTATTTTTTCTTAAGGTTCTGGAGATTAGGAAGTTCAAGAGCATGGTCCCAACATCCGCTTGGCTTCTGCTAAGGAACTTCTTGCTGTCTCCTAACATGACAGAGGACACTACACAGTGAAACCCAGAGCAAGCCACTTTGCACTGAACCATTAAGTCGTGAGTGGGTTCATCCTCTTCGGCTTTTCAATACTTTGCTTTTCATTCCAAATTACCAATGTATGATCATGGAGGGGACACATTCAAACCATAGCCCTTAAATGCCTATGATCTAAACTGAGATGCTGATGTGACTTTGGAGACTGCATTGCCTTTATTGTAGACCAAACTTACCTAGATGCAGAGCTTTAAGGATTCAAGTGCTAGCAATACAGGAGCAAGCCCAGGAGGAAAAGTAAGGGAGCAGGGGAGAGAAAATGCAGAGGCCAAGAAGCCAGGCGAAACCGTGATTTCACGTGTGGTTCCACACTAGCTTGTGAAGAATTGTGGAGCATAAATTGCATTTCAGAATTTATTTTCTCTTGGGGCAAAGGAGCTCAGGTTTTGATCCTTATCCCAGTTGGCCACTGGCTACAGATGGCCATGGCCATCTGCCTGTGCGGGAGCTGAATTACCATTCTCTTCTAGGAAGGTCATTCTAGTACACTCCAGTGAGCCCTGGAAAGCAGGTTGTGCTGTGCGCTGCTCAGCAGTCAGAAGTGAGGAAGGCTGGTAAAGGGACCAGAGGGATCCAGGTGAGGGGCCACGCACATTGCAAACTCACCCTGAATCTGTCACAGACTCATGCCCAGGACACTTGATGGTGCAATGCTCTGGGTCTCTGACTCTCCCTGGTCACTTCCTTCCTGCTAATCAGCCGGACCCCTTGTATAGGTCAAGTCTTGAGAAAAATGCTTGGACTCCTGAAAAGCTATTCTCTCTTCAAAGACACAGAAAACTGAGATTGTTCTCATTGCTTAGAAGGCTAAGAAAACCTGAGATGATCAGAGAGCTTTGGATTCATATCAAAGCATTATATTGAAAACATACTTTGAAACCTTAATATGCACAAAAAACAAGGTTGATCTTTGGATTCAGGAAGTATAGGTTACTTCCTGGCTTGTATCCAAAGGCAGGATAAAGTCTTTCTAGGATACTTTGCATTCATATTTGTTATACTTTTTGTTACCCTAACCTACTAATCTTCCTCCTCTTTCTTTTGTGGAACTGGACATTGAACCCAGGGCCTTTGCATTGAGCTATATCCCTAGCCCTCTTTTTATGTTGTATTTTGAGACACAGTCCCGTTAAGTTGCTGAGTTTTCCAGAAAAGCCTCCGACTATGACCACTCTGCCTCAGCCTCTTCCAGTGAGAGGATTATAGACATGCCCCACCACACCTGGCCCAGTACATTATTCTTGACTACAAGGTTCAAGCTGGCTAAAATATTTAAAAAATGTAGGCCATGGTCATTCAGTTTAAACAACTTTTTGCAACTTCAACCAAGATTTTTGAATACTTTGAACCATTGATTCTTACTTATATGGTTAGTAATAAGAAGTAATTTGGAAAAAAATTGTACCCTTTCCTGTATTATTCTTGTATGGAGATTACCAGTAAAGTGATTTTTCTCTCTTTTCTTTTCTCTGAAACAAAATACATAAAAAGCTCAAATTAGAGAATTTATAAAAATGAACGCTTGTCCAACTCTTTTATGAGAAAAAGATCAGGATGTGATCTGAAGGCAAGAATTTGTTGAATGTAACTTTCAGGTCAAACAAGAGCAGCCTGGACATAGCCTAGTGTGTAATGCCACCCCCACTCCTGGGTTATAAAGAGTGATGCTCATAGTTACTCATGTGGCGTAGGTGCTGTTAGAACCAAACTGGTCAATTTGTACTTCACACTGTCGAAGTATATTGTACTTTTACTCCATTTCTTAGAGTAATCTCTGTACAATAATTCTTACTTAATGAGACTATTCAAGTACCTACTTCCCTGTTATTCTGAGCAAATGGGCACTGGTCATATCTTTGTTTCCATCATACCATGGTTGTGGTGACGTCATACCCTAATTTTAAAGATAATTTTATTTATCACACAAGGATTAGCCAATGTCTGCAAAGGTTGCATCTGTAAAGTAAACATGAAATACTATGGAGCCAAGTGAAGCCCAAAGGATTTGTTTACACTTAACAGTGATTTTTTAAAGCCTCATTTCCCTGTTTTGTTACAGCTGGCAGTGGAAAAAACAATAGAATCTGTGAATGAAAATACCCTCAGATGGCTCTGTTGTAAAAGCAAGTCCTTGACACACTTCCTGTTCATGTAGGGAGATGCTGACATCCACTTTGTTTGCCTCTGCAGGTAGCAGTTGCAGAACATCCATGTCTTGATGCTCGTGGGGCTCTTCAAGTAGAGAAGATAGCAAATGAGAAGAAATAATACGTAGAACTGTTGTGAATGGCAACTGGAATGGGGAAGAGGACATTGTTAGCCAAGATTATTTTCTTTATGTACATATGCGACTGTGTGTTCTTTTATGCACAGTGGTATATTTATACCTATTTGTGACTATTAGCATTTTCCTTTTGTTCCCAACAAATGTTGTGACATTTCTGTGACAACAATGCTTTAAATTTGTTACTTTGTTATAATTGAACTGTAACTAAGAAGAAGTAAAGGTAGCACTGAAGTTGTGACTCAGAGGCTTGGTCCCACCTGCACTGCGCACCCGCAACAACAATCACCACCACCTTACTTTACATAACAGAGTAGAAACATTGCTAGTTCCTTAAGAAGTATCTATGAAATTTTATTTCCTAATTTTGTGGGAATCATCATTTATAGTTGAGCTCATCAGGTGGTACTTAACTTACATAATCTGTGAATTAAAGAAACAATCTTTTTAATGTGGTCCTAGTCAGAATGGATCCTCTTTGGCCTTTTACACAAACAATCGTAAGAAGAAGAGGAAATAATGTGCTTCCCCAGTATTCTTAAACAATGTATCAAGATTGAAATTAAACAGAATTTTACAAAATATCAGAGGCAGGCCAGCGATATAGCTCAGTGACTTAAGCACCTGCCTGGCAAGCACAAGGTCCTGAGTTCAGTTCCCAGTACAAAAAAAAAAAAAAATTCAGAGGCATTGTCTCCATTTAGTAGATTTCAAATATGGTAATGTTGGAAATGTTCTTTTCGCAGTTATTATGCATTTGAAGGCAAATACTGACTATGCAATTTTTCTTAAAGCTCTGTGTTTTGGTGATCTATGTGCACCTATGTTCATAGCATCACAATTTGTTATTGTTAAATTGTGGAAGCAACCCAAATGTCCATCCACCGAGGATTGGATAACAAAATTGTGGTACTTTTATATAATGGAATATTACTCAGCTATAAAGAAAGATAAACTCGAGGCTTGTATAGGTAAATGGTCACAACTAGAGACCATACTCATAAGTGAAATAAATCAG